AATAGTAAGCTGAGGCAAAACCACAGGTAACTATTAAATATGGTAAAACTAAAAAAAAGTAATCTACCGAACGTATAGCTCAGGATAGATTCTTTAGAACTGAAATGGTACTTTTGTTGCGTAAGAACACAGCAAAAGTTTGATAAATGCAAATCACGTTAGGACTGAACTTCCTGTTCGAAAAGGAACCTTGAGAGAGGAAATTAACTCAGTGATTATCGGCGCCTGTTGCGAGTTTTTTTTCAAGACCTAAAATTCGATAAACTATTCCTCACCAAAAATGTGTGTTGTATTGAGATGTCAAATTATTTATTCAAGTTTACTACTTTAAGGCTTGTTTATTTTATGGAGATGAAATGTTATAGTGGAAAACTGCGCAACGAACATTTTGGTGACTTTCCACAGAATTTCCCCAAACTTTGGGGAAGACTATTTCATTTTGGGGATTTCCCCAAAGTTGGTAGCTTGGGTATGTAAAGATATATCTCACGAAAAAGTACTTTAGAGTTGGATCATCACTGTTCTTTTTGCATACTGACATAACGTACTTAGTTTGCGTATACTAAAAAAAATAATTATTATTCACAGAAGTCATGTTACCTTATGTACTTATTTCAAACAGGTCTTAAAAAATGTCCCAACTTGTAAATCTTCGAGATAACATAATATCATTAAGATTCGTTCCCCGTTGAGGAGGGAATGCAGTGTGATGACTGTAAAAAGTGGTACCACAAAATGTGTACACGCCTAAGTCCAATGGCATACAAAAGATGCTCGAAGCCTAACTCGCATTGGCTTTGTATGTTCTTCTGTACGGATAAAAAGGTACTAATTCAGGAGGCTATGGGCCTATTGGCTTTGGCCTGCAAGAAAAACGATGATACATGCGCTGACAACACCGGCACCGACAGTGACGATTGTGTCAGTGTAGTACCTGCTGTTACGCGACGCCTCAAACAACCGACTCTGATCGACGCAAAAGTGAGATCGCCGTTGACATTAACAAGGGGAGTAATACCACTTGGTGCTAACATTAATGACAATGCACCTTAAGTGGGAACCGACGAACTGGATAAAACCATCACCGTTCTAAATAGTTCCAATGTCCTGAGGGATGAAAAATGGACTACGGTACGTAGGAAACGAAAGGAAAGGAAAAAAGCTGTAGGTAGTACACAGGTAGTTAGTAACTCACTGATGGACTCTCATTGTGGGTCACAAACTGCACTACCAAAATCTGATGGTAAGAGTGAAACCCATCCTGGTGTGACTGAGAAGAAAAATCGAATAACAGCTAAAACTAATGACTGTTTACTTGAAAAGTCCTTGGTGGACTCTCAGACCAATCCCCCAAAGCTCCAAGGAAAAGCTTCGTCTAACACTGTTGTGAGTCACTCACAGGACTCTGTTACAATAAAAGCTAATCGTAAGATACCAGTAGTTAATATACAGGATCTAACGTCACGGTCGAAAGCTGTTAACACAGTTTCAAAGGAAGCTAAACCCCTTCCTAGTTTAATTATTTGGAATCTAGAGGAGTCGAAAGATAACGACCCTGCTAGAAGACATGCACATGACCTGCAGTTAGTGGAGTCTGTGGTAAGAAATGTACTACCTGAAGAGGTTTCAGGGGTACATATTACAAAAGTAATACGACTTGGTAAATGGGTTGGAGGCGAGACCCAACCAAGAAGAATCCTGAAGCTGGTTCTCGGGAGTTTCGAAGAAAGACACATATTATTGAAAAACGCAACAAAAACTCGTGACTCAAATATCCGTATTCGGCCAGGTTGGCCGCTTGAGGATCGAATCAAGTGAAAGAATGCTCTTACGGAGTTGAGGACTCGCAAGTTAAATGGCGAAAATAACCTTACCATTAAGGGTTTTCGGGTAGTCAGGTCTTGGAAGCCAATGCTTCCGAGGCCTGTATGGGTAAAACGATTGATTGCCAAAACACCTTAAGCGTGTGCTACACAAACGCTCGTAGTTTTAGAAATAAAACGTCCGAGCTAAGTCTGATGGTGGAAGAATTATGTCCCGATATAATCGTTGTTACAGAAACTTGGTTCACAGTAGATATAGACTGTTCTCCGTTCATTGCAGACTATATCTGTATTAGAAGTGATAGAGTTTCAAGTCGCAAAGCGGGAGGTATAATATCATACGTTAGGGATCACTTTCGTATACAATCAACCATATCGGAGGCTCATATCAGTGGCACATGTGAGGTTGCATGTTGTAAGATTAAATCTAGAAGTGGGTTAGTGACTATAGGGGGAATATACCGTAGTCCGTTTTGTCTTGCTGACGACTTTATCCTAAGACACATCTGTTCTTGAAGTATGGCAGAATGTTGTCTCATCATTGGGGACTTCAATGCACCGCATATCAACTGGATAGAGCTTGCAGCTCCAGGTAGTGGTTTCGATAGCGACCTTTTATCCACCGTTATTCAGTGTGCGCTCGTACAATGTATCACAAAACCGACACATATTGATTTCAATCATGATGCGTCACTGCTGGACCTCGCCCTCACCCACCACTGTGAGGATGTCTTTGATATCCAGCACCTTCCTCCACTAGTGAACAGTGATCACGTTGTAATTCACTTCAAGTTTAGGACACATGGTATACAATTCGCATCTGCTCCACCCCGTCCCAATATCTGGTGAGCTAATATTCCGGCAATCAGAGACTGTGCTATCTCGACTGATTGGTCTGTCGAAGCGGATGGATTGATCGTAGGTGAATGGAATACGTTTAGGGCTACATTCAAGTCCGTAGCGTCGCCGTCTATCCCATGGTCAGCACGTAAGCTATCACATTGCCCTCCATGGATTAATAAGGAAACCCGGAAGCTGTTAAAGCGTAGGAAACATTTCTAAGACTTATTCTTGTTGACAGGTCATGAATCATTTAAGCGTGAGTACCGAAAATTCCGTAACATCTGTAAGAAAACCATAGCCAAATCCCGTACCACTTACGAACGACAGTTAGTATATGACAGCCGTACTTGTCCGAAACGATTGTTTTCGTATGTTAAACGGCCGACGAAACGTAGTGATGGTATTCCCCCGTTACTGTTACACGAAAATTCAGAATTACTAGCCGAATCAGATCGAGCAAAAGCTGAGACTTTTTCAAACTATTTTAGCGAAGTCTTCTCCACGTTTATTGTAACAAATACTTGTCCCACTCACACCGAGATACCAACCATGGAATCTGCACAGGTGACTGAGGAAACTGTCCTTCCGTTGATGACTAACCTCAAACCTGGTAAGACACCAGGCCCTGACGGGTTACATCCACGGTTGCTGTCATCTCTTGCGGACATTATTTCAAAACCGCTCGCGAAACTCTTCAACATATCCCTTTCACTCGCTCAACTCCCTAGAGATTGGAAGGATGCTATAGTCAGTCCTATATTTAAGGACGGTCAGAGACAGATAGTATCTAACTACCGGCCTGTTAGTCTAACTAGCATAGTCGTTAAGTTACTCGAAAAGATAATTCGGGTTAGGTTGCTAAGCCACATAGATTTACACAATCTGTTAGCTCCTGGGCAACACGGATTTCGTAACAAGCGTTCATGCTTCATTAACTTGTTTATTGCGAGGGAGGATTGGACAGCAGCCCTAGATAACGATCTGTCTGCCGATGTGATATTCATAGATTTTAGCAAAGCGTTTGACAAGGTTTCACACGTAGGTCTTATGCAGAAGCTCACGACCTTCAGAATAATAGGTACTGTACATGAGTGGATAGGAAATTTCTTATGTGACTGCAGACAGAGTGAGGGTCAACGGAACGCTATCCGATTGGAAGCCGGTCAAAAGTGGTTTACCTCAAGGCACTATCTTAGGCCCTCTGCTCTTCCTTCTCTACGTTAGTGAGTTACCGCTGTTACTTAGGTCGTAGACATTATTGTTTGCAGATGATGTAAAAATCTGGAGAACAATAAAAAGTGCGGCTGATCATCTGGATCTTCAAGCTGACTTAGACGATTTAGTTAAATGGGCTCGAGAGTGGGGCCTAGAAATCAATGCTAGGAAGAGTGTGCTAATGCACAACGGTCGCGGTAATGGTTACCGTTACACTATTGAGGGTAAACCTCTTCCATGCGTTCAAGAGCATAAAGACTTAGGAGTAGTATTAAGTCATGATTTAAAAACAACTACGCATTGCAAAGCAGCCGCCGTCAAAGGTTTTCGTGCGTTATGGTCACTTCGCCGAGCGTTCAAATCTTTTGACGAGGAAACGTTTCGAATTTTATATCCCATATATGTTAGAACACATTTAGAGCACTGTATCCAAGCAGCTAGCCGTGTCTGGTAAAGGATACTAACTCCCTTGAGCGTGTCCAGCATGTGGGAACGAAATTAGTGAAGGGTTTTTCTAGACTCCCTTACGATGAGCATTTAAATAGGCTAAATCTTTCCCCTTGTCGTATCGAAGGACAAGAGGTGACCTTATACTGGCATTTTGTATCTTTAATTATGACTTGGGTGTTAATATGTCTTATCTTTTTGCTCCCTCCAGCACTAATAATCTCCGCGGTCATAGCAAGAAGGTTCATAAACCAAGATCTAATAAACTTAAAGTGGGTTCCCGTTTTTCTCATCGAGTAGTCAATCATTGGAACGCCTTACCCGAACAAGTGGTATCAGCCCCATCAGTGAATACTTTCAAGGAGAAGCTGGACCTTCACTGGAAAGCAGTGTCAGGATTAGTACAGGTTCATCAACCTACTATCCTTATTACTGAAGACTGAAGACATCATCACGATGGCATCGTCTTCGTTACATCAAGAATGAACGTTATCAGACATGGTGTGGCTGAACTAAATTCAAATCTAAAAATGTCTTGTTTTGACCGCTTCTGAAACTTTACGAATTGTCGATGTGACGCACCAATCATCTTGCGACAGTTTGACCTTTAAGTGCTCGCAACCTCCAACAGTGGACGATACCCCTGAAGCGTTGCCTACGACTTCCGACCTTATTCAGCAATGTTTAGGAATCAGTATGATCACGACGTTTCAATATGGAGTCCACAAGGACGAATTCATCAAATCGAATATGCTATGGAAGCTGTAAAGCAGGGTTCAGCAGCAGTCGCCCTGAAGAATCATGACTACGCCATAATTGTTGCCCTTAAGAGAGCACCATCTGAACTCTCTTCCTACCAAGAAAAAATCATTCAAATAGATGATCATGTTGGGGTAGCGATCTCGGGTTTAACTGCTGATGGCCGACTTCTTAGTCGTTCAATGCGTCGTGAGTGTGCAGATAGCAGATGGGCCTACGATGAGCCATTACCAATTTCACGTCTGCTATTTAAGATAGCTCTCAAGATGCAAGTTCCTACTCAGAGATATGGTCGACGACCTTTCGGAGTTGGTATGCTAGTCACTGGTTGTGATGCCTTGGGACCACATGTTTACTACCTGGTAAGTTATACATTAGAAGACTAGCAATATGGTATAAATATATGAATGCAACGTGGTAATCACTCATGTCAACTTATGTCGTCCCACAACATATTCACCAGTAAACATACACAAGCGAATTCTGTATCAAGCGTGTATTCTCTAAAAGCCTAATATGTCGAACGTATTTTAGTTAATATGTTCGTTTTTAGATTTTTTATCTGGTGAAGAGTCTAAATAATTAACGCGAATAATTTTTCCCGGATTTTTTCAAGAGGACTTTTAGGAGTTTGGATTCGTAGATGTTTTTTCAAAATATTTGAATCGTAGGGACCTTTAATTTGTCCCAGGATGTTGGTATTCTCCATTGGTAATCCATTTGGAAAATCTTCGTAAATGAGAACGTTATCCTTAATTATTCCAGGTAGAGTATTCTCGTCTTCATGCTTTGTACCAGAGCTCATGATACTACCCGCTTAGATTTATCCACCCAAGTTTTCAACTTACGTCCTTCTAGTTATAGTGTTATTGATTCGCTTAAAAGTCGTTGGTGTGTGGTTAAACATTGTCTTTTTGAGTTCGCTATAATTCATCCCTCACCTAATACGTACGTCATATAAACAGTTGAGTTTACGTTTTAGTTAATGTGAGGTTTAATCAGTTGGTATTTTATCATAGCTTCAGATTTACAACCTTTTTCTCTTAAGTGTCCATCCTCAAACGCATACGATTGCAAATGCATAGCCATTGGTTCTCGCTCTCAATCAGCTCGTACTTACTTGGAACGACATTTAGATGAATTTAAAGGTTCATCTTTGGACGATTTAATTTGTCATGGATTGAAGGCTTTAAACAGTACGTTGCCAAATGAAGTTAGTTTGAATATGAAGGTGAGTTTATTTTCATCAAAACTGATCCCATGAATGTTTTCTGATATCAAACTCAGCCCAGTCTTCCTGATTTTCGGGAATTAGCTAGTATATTGATTCCTACAAAGTATGATTTATACCCAAGCGCCCAGTAAATGAGTCTATCTACTTATATTTATCAAGTTTGGATACATTTGAGGAAGACATGTGTGCTATTAAATCCAAGAGTCAGGTCACTGAAGATTTTTATGACGTTCATCGCCAAGTTTACTAGTATATTGACCATTAAAAAAAAGCAAAATGGTACACTTTATAGTTTATTTTATTGTATATTTATTTGAACACATAAATATTGGTACAAGAGGGCACCATATATATATGCGCCACACAAAGCAATGAAAATGGGAAGAGAAAAAAAAGAACGATAACGACTAAATTAGTGTAAGGTAGTTTAATGATAATAATGGGTGGACGGAATGTTACAATCAGAAGAAATCTTTCAGTTAAGGAAGATACAACCACTTTTTATGAAGGAAGTAAACGAAGGTTACAGCATGATCGCCACTGACTTCTATTCTGAGCCATATCTGATAACGTTTCTAGCCACTGTGTAGCACCATCTCTCGGACCCCAGCCAAGGAGTCGTGAAAAACTAACAGAAGCCAGCCCTTTTCAGATTTCTTTCACATCCCGACACCACGTCATGCACTGACCAATCGTTGGTCACCGGCTGCCATGGGACTGCATTTCCTCAGGCCTTTAGGTCAAAGGCTCGGGGTGTGGCCTCCTAAGGAAACCGCCTGTTTCGGTCTGGGCACCCGGGCAGTATCACAGCACGCACACAAATAAAATGAAAATGACACTTTATAGTCTCATTACATGATTCATCGGCTTGAAGCTAGTCGAAGTCTAGTTAGACATTGTTTTCCACTAATTCCTAGGTCAATGGTTGCGGTCCGCGTGACTATCGTAACCAATGGTTGGAAACTCTTGGTGACGTGGCTCAGAATCGATCACAATGGCGTCTTCCCTTAGTGTCTTCCCTCAAACTAAAAGATTAAAATCACTTCATTCTTCCTTCCTGCACCATATCCTTATCGCAATCTTCCCTTTATATATTACCACCTCTGAATTAACTACTTTTATGAATCCGGTGTCCATCTTGTTGTGTTAATGAGGTTTGGCAACTTGGACCGATGCATATATATGCATGGTCCTACGTTGTAGCTGACTGACTGACTGACAATGGTAGTATGTAAACAATTGTTGGAGCAATGATTTATAGTAATATTCTAGTATGTTGTAAAGGTTTTCCATCTACATGAAATAATATCGTCCAACATATTTCACCACTGTATGAATTGATTTGTTTGACGCTTCCCAGATTTTGTGTACTGTCGAACAGGAGTAAAATTGACGATCTTCAATACCAGATACGTCTTTCATTCCTAACCCCAGCTATTCAAAAAAATCTTTTAAGAGAAGCATAATAAAGTTGATTTACATCCAAGTTAGTTCAATTACATATCGATCAAATGTCTGATTACCGACTACAAATTTACCGTCTGAGCAATCATCTCTTGAGTATAAAATCAGTGAATTTATGTATACAATAAAAAAGTACTAAAAATCAAATAGCTAATTTCAGACCGAATGAATTAATACATAAAGTTCCACTGAAAATATAATACTGTACTACGCAAATGTAAAGACTGGTTTTACCATAAAGCGTTATATTTGGAGGTTTAACATTTTCATCACAGACGTCGATCATTATATGAAACCTTGATATGTTTTCATTTTAACACGCACTTAATTTATCACGTTATTCACTGCCTGGTTTGTATTCCTAGGATTGCTAACACATTTGTACCTGGCTCTACGTTGACCATGATTGATTGCGTGGCTTCTAGGCCTTCATCAGTCAGCCATTCATTTCCGATTCCACTAAATTATCTCTTAAATACTTATGCGCTGCTTAAATTCCTAAATTATTTATTGTTCAGATATACCTATAGTCCAAATACAAAATTCCTCACTGCTGATGTTTTTAGTAAACACTTTGTAGCCCGCTGATCTGACTTCGACCTAGATGGATGTATGAATATACTATGAACATAAATCTCCCATTTAGTTCTGTTTATTACCTAGGCTAACCCCGTTTGTGTGACGGTGGTAATAAGAAGCCAAATACGGGTTGCGCTGGAGGGATTTATTTTAAGCATTCGTCATTCATTTGACCTCACCATGCCAAAATAAAGAACCGACTCGATTTACGCTTCGTGTATCTGGAAGCCCTGATTCTGCTTCCCGTGGCCTCGCCGGCGTAGGTATAGCATTGAGTCCTAGGGCAGAACTAGCTCTCTTAGAGTGGATCCCAGTAAACAGTCGTTTGTGCGCTGTCCGACTGAACGGAACAGTAAGAATCCGGAAAGATAGGGACACTCGTCGTTGCCTCTTCGTCGTCTCTGCCTATTCTCCCACTGACTGCAGCTCAGATGATGTAAAAGATGAGTTTTACAGAAAGCTTTCGGACCTTCTCCGAAAAGCTAAGCGCTCGGATGTAGTAATAGTGGCCGGTGACTTTAATGCTCAAGTAGGTAAACTAAGCGATAAGGAAAGACACCTAGGTGGATCCTATGGTGTCGTGGCTCAAAGAACAGATAATGTCGACCGTCTGTTGCAGCTATGCTCAGATAACCGCCTGTTCCTTGCAAATACTAAATTTAAGCATAAGGAAAAACATCTTTTAACATGGCGATCCCCTAATTCGTCCCAACGTTGGTCCCAAATAGATCACATCGCTATCAGCCACCGATGGAGGGGCTCGATAGAAGACTGTCGCTCATTCTGGAGCACATGCTTAGATTCAGATCATGCTCTAGTGCGAGCGCGTATTTGCTTGCGTCTTACTGGACGTAGGAAGGATCCTGCAAGGAAACCTCTTAGGGCCCTACTTAATGATAGTCAAGCTAAGAGTATATTTCAGGAACAACTAGGCAAACAGTTAGGCAGCCATGTAAGTGATGCCCACCCCGATGCAGCATGGAATGATATCCGAAAAGCTGTGGAAACAGCAGTGATATCTGCTAGCAAGGTAAACCAGAAGGTTAGGGAGCAACACTGGATCTCAAAAGCATCTATCTCACTGATAGATGCTCGGAAACTCATTCCACCTGGCTCTGAACATAATGAAGAGCGGAGTCAGCTTAAGCGCAAGCTGACAAGAAGTCTACGCAATGATCGCGAACAGTGGTGGGTAGCGAAAGCAAGAGAGATGGAAAAGGCAGCGGCAATAGGTAATAGCAGACAATTGTTTAGACTCGTTAAGGAAACCGGAATTAGGAACCCGACCGTTAGCGAAACAATCTCAGAGAAAGATGGACATATTATTCATTCTCAATCCAGGAGATTGGATCGATGGGCAGAACACTTTAGGGATCAGTTCAACTGGCCTTCAGCCACACTTCGGTTTCCCACGATCTCCAGTCAACCTGAATGGCAAGTTAATGTAAGTCCTCCGTCCCTTTACGAAGTTGAAAAAGCCATAGGAAATCTGAAACGAGGGATAGCAGCAGGCCCTGACAGGTTTACTCCTGAGATTTTTAAGGATGGTGGTCCAGTATTAGCAGCAAGATTAACTGAGGTCTTAGGTAGAATTTGGGAACTGGACGTAATCCCATCTGACTGGTCTCAATCACTGATTGTGCCAGTTTTTAAGAAAGGACAAAAGTCCTCTTGTGACAATCACAGAGGAATCAGTTTGACTAATATAGTGTCTAAAATATTAGCCTCAATAATACTTCGACGCCTAACTAAAGCTCGTGAAGAGCAGACTAGAGAAAACCAGGCTGGTTTTCGACCTGGACGTGGTTGTATAGATCAGATATTCACACTACGTCAGGTTCTAGAACAGAGACACACATTCAGACGCCCCACAATGGTAGTATTTCTCGACCTTAAGGCGGCATTCGACTCCGTTGATCGTGAGGTTCTATGACAGTGTTTGTCACTGAAAGGAGTACCAAAGAAGTACATTAACCTTATAAAGGCTCTCTACTCGAACACAACTGGTTGAGTGAGAGCTTATGGCGAACTGTCATCAGAATTGATCACCTCAAGTAGTGTTCGTCAGGGCTGTCCACTCTCCCCATTCTTGTTCAACTTTGTCATTGACGTACTTTTAGAGATAACACTCTCCTCATCTAAATTTCCAGGGGTTGAACTTCTACCAGGAGGTTCACTTGTTGACTTAGAATATGCAGATGACATAGTTTTATTTGGTGAAGACGCTGACAAAATACAGAGTCTTCTGACCACTCTAAGCAACAATGCAAGCATGTTCGGGATGCGATTCTCCCTCGAAATGCAAAATGTTGCTTCAGGATTGGGTTACATCGACACCCGAACTAGTGATAGGGAGTGAAGTAGTTGAGTGTGTCGACCGCTTCACTTATCTTGGAAGTCTCATCAGCCCTTGTGGTTTGGTGTGTGACGAAATTTCAGCACGGATACAGAAGGCTCGACTAGCTTTTGCCAACTTGCGTCATTTATGGCGTAGGCGAGATATCCGTCTATCAACCAAAGGACGTGTTTACTGCGCAGCAGTTCGTTCCGTCCTACTTTATGGCAGTGAAACATGGCCGGTAAGAGTAGAGGATATCCGTAGGTTACTAGTATTTGATCATAGGTGTCTTCGAAACATTGCTCGTATATCATGGGACCATCGAGTAAGTAACGCAGTTGTTAGGAAACGGGTACTAGGTAAGGATGGCAAATCAATTGATGAAGTAGTGAAACTTCATCAGTTGAGATGGCTGGGACACGTGTTACGTATGCCCAACGACCGACTGCCTCGACGTGCGATGTTCAGTGGTATAGGAGTAGTTTGGAAGAAAGTTAGGGGCGGCCAAACCAAAACATGGCACAAGTCCATGAAGTCACTGACAAGTGGACTGAGTCATGTTGGTAGGTGTAGACTACCTGGTTGGGGACCGCGAGATGACAGCAACCGATGGTTAGAGACCCTGAATGACATGGCTCAAAATCGTTTGCAATGGCGCAGGTGCATCCACTCTCTGTGTTCTCCCAAACTCTAATCTTCTGAATTCTTCATGTCCCTTTTTTCCTCTTTCCAAATTTCTTTCACTGGATTATACTCTTTAAATAACATCTCCAAACCCTAATCTTCCCGATTACTGCTTATACTCTTATTACCTCTATCACTACGGGATTTGAATCGACAATTGTATCTCTGTGCTAATGTGGTGTGGCAACTCGAACTGATGTACGTACGTACGAAGTTCTACGTTGTTACTGACTGACTGACTGACTGATTCGTCTATCCAGACAGAAGCGAAGGCGAGTGAGCCAACTTGTTTTGATCAAGTGTGACTCGACATTTATAGTCAGACAAAAATAAGTTACTGATATGTGGTAAGTAGGATGAGTAATGTCCTCACATACGTCCATCTAATAACAGTCAAGGTTAATAAGCGAATAATTAACAAGGTCAGAATGTAAGTCAAGAAGAATGAATAGATTGGTTTGTCCGAAAGCTAGAATAACTCATATGGGCTTGAAATGGTACTAGACACTACACAGAGATAGATTTGCTGAATATACTTCTACCTAAGTCACTCACGTTCAAACACTAAGTGACTTAAAACGATTCGCGAACACTACTACACTGAAGGACTTCAGCGTTTATAACTGATATCTAATCTTTAGTATATGTCCACATACAGGATTGTAAATGAACCCTAAAGTGCCACTACGAACACCATCAAGGTAGGAGGTTGATATGGCTTGTGAATCCAGACAAATGATATTAAGATACTGTGTCTCAACTAACCGCATATGATTATGCAATTTCTTCCACTGTTGTTATGAGATGAATTCAAATAATCATTTAATACCAATGTCAGCTTTTCTTTGTGCATCGCCTCTTCTACGTTCTTTACTGTCTAGCGCCCCTTAACCAGTTCATTTCACTGTACATAATATGGTTACGAACGAGAATGAGTTTAGAACAAAATCAATTCCAAATGAAACCGAAACAAAATGTGCAGAGAAATAAAGCATAAGAGTTTGTGTAAAATTAAAGATGCTTCAAGTAATTGGTCTTTTCAACCAGGGTTGACTAGTTAGCAATGCATCAGCATATTTAAACTTGGGTCTCATTGAGCGTGCAGGCTAAAATGTAATGAGTCAGTCCTACCAATACAACTATTAAGATAGTAGTCGATTTCCTCTAATCTGTTAGTAAATATTTTTCACTCACAAAATAATTGTATTGACAAAATATAAACATTCTCTATAATATTTTGACTGATACTTTAACTCTTCTACATAATTATATGTGAGTCCCGAAACTCGAATATCATTTACGTTGGAGTAGTTAGAATCATTCAATCTCCCATATCTCCAAAATTGATGGTTTTATTCTACTACTGTAATTAACACATGATGGAAACTTGTAACTCAATGATTGAAAGTCTAATGGTTTTATGAACTGTCTTAATTTCAGTAGCATTACATTTAGTGATTTTATATACTACAGTAAAAATATGAATTTTCATATCTTATTTGATGTTTTAGAATTGTTCACTTGCTATAGTTGGAAAAGACATGAAATTCACAATATTTGAAGATGACGATATTGATCCATATTTAAAGTTATTCGAAGCTACTCAAGCGGATGCACCAACTATCTCCGATTCCGGTCCTACTCCAATGGAACAGGATCAGTCTGCGTTGTAACCGGCTATCTATGTATATGGAATTGTTTATGTACTGATGATCTAACGACTATGCTGAGTCCTAACTTGTTTTTATTTTCGATTTGTAAAAATAAGAAGTTAATAAAGTTGAGTTATGAAATTCATATGTTTTCTTCCTAATATTTTCTTTTTATATAGAAAACAGTTTTGTCAAATGTTTGATATTTTCTTAAACTTATGTAGAGGATTTTTGATATCTTGAAGTTTTAGCTTAAACATTGTGTTTATTAAACAGACTGTGATATTCAACTGGTTTGTGTTGAACTAGCTTAGTTTAGAGTTACTGGATAAAGATGACAAATCCAATAATAAGTTTTTAAACCTCTATCGACTGACATGACTGGAACTTATGTGTTCCTTGTACCCATCCACTAGCTAACTTAATGATTAATGATGGTTGATACAGGAGTTGGTTGGTAAAAAGGTAGTGGCTTTCAAAGCAAAACAGTATCAGTCTACTACATTTTTGGCTGATCCGTTTTGATAGACACAGACGATCTGTGTGTAGTCACCACAATAATTATGATGAAATTACTACAACATTAGAAGACATTTAGTCCAGGCGATCTACTTTCCGTTCTTTTCAAAGATGGGATAGTCTTTTGATCAGGGAACTAAGTCGATTGTCTAAAATGTCTATATTTAGACTAAACCATCGTACTTCACTGAAGTTTTTTCTTTCCTAGTTTCAAGCAGGGTTTGCGTAATACACCTAATTAGTGATAATTGCTGACTTTGTTTTATAAAACAATGAATGGACCTGCAAGAACTCATATTGCGAATACGTTAGTGATCTTCCCACTCCCTCAGGTTTCGGTCCTCAAATTTTCTAATTCTCATCAAATAGACAGCTTTTAATCTATTAAATAGTACCATTCTCTGGAATCGCTTGTCGAAGAGAAAACACCCTAGGAATTTCTCTACGAATGACAGGAGTGTGCAATCAATCTTACATTGCTTCCAAATAATGGATATGTTTGGATTGTTCAGTGTTGTCATTCCTATCTAGTTCTCTCGTCTATAACTTCCTCAAAACAACTGAGAAAGCTGTACAGTGGTTTCAATCTGTTGTTTAATGGAAAATCTTCAACCTTGAAAATACGGTTGTGATTGTTTCACTATGCGATCCCATATAAGCTAATTACTACACAGTTAACTATTCAGCAACCATTGCTTGTAGGTACCGTATGTAAGTTTTACCACCAATATGTGAAATAATTTTAAAAAACCTGCAGAGGCCTATGTCTTCGCTTACTTTTTGTAACGAGTTGTTTGGAATAGTCAAGGAGTTCATGCTAGTGTGATATTGCTTGGGGTAGTAAAGGCAGAAGAGATGTAGAGAAGTCTCATTCACCTTCGAATTCATCATTATGTGAATCGGAAAGTTTTGGTTCAAATGCACAGACATATCAAAACCTGCCTCAAGTTATAAATATAGACTGCTAGATGTCACCTCAGTGATTTAAATGTTAAACGCTTGTCTGAAGGTCTCAAGTTTGATCCCTGGTGCGGTCGTGAATATTCACTGATGTAGAATCCCTTACTAGCACTTAGCATTTGTTTAGTTCTTCCTGAGTCAGTTCGTGATTCGTTGTTTTTCAAATTCAACAGCCTCTAAAATACCTCATGATCACAATCGTTTTACTAATACTAATGTATTGTAGTCAATAATACACATGTAAAGCGTAAGATAAATGTTTTCACTATTGCACCTCCATCGAGAGTTATATTTACACTGACTTGGTGAAAACATGGGGGAAAAGTAAAAGTTTTATACTGTAAAAACCGAGTCGTTTTTGTCTACATACATGTGCTACACAATCAGTGTAAATTTAAGATTTCTCAAGGTCCGAACTCTGCTACTCCGTATAGGTCCGTCTACTAGCTAGTGATTATTAGGTGTACTACCGAGCTGACGATGAAGTGGTCATGTGTCCTCTAGATCATTATATGCCCATTCTCAGATACTATGCATTGAAGCAAAGTAATATTCTTAACTTGAATATTTACTCGGCTTGTGTCAGTTCGTTGTAAAATGTTAAATAATACTCTATAATTCAGTTTTACAAGCCTCCCTTACAGTCCCCATGCAGCTATTGTACTTATTCTAGAGACAATTCTCCACATTTGTACTTGTTCAGTGTAGTTTCTTCGGCAAAATGTATTCATTCCAAAGGTTAAGAGTTTCTGTATACTGTTATGTAACCCGTGATCATTTAATAAATAAACTGATTATTTGACTGAGTTATGTAGGCAGCTGCAGGCTACCTGGTTAGAGTCTGTGTGATTATCGTAACCAATAGTTAAAGACTGTGTAACATGATTCGGAATTTTCCCGATAGGCACAGATGCATTCAATAGTTATATTCCCTCAAATTCCAAGATTTTGAATAACCTTATGATTGTGTTTTCTTAAGTACCACGAATCCATATTTTATCTAATCGTATCTTAGATACCCAGTCTTTTCAATTACCATTAATGTTGTCACTACCTCTTCTTCCCTGGGATTTGTCTCTATAATTCCATCTCTCTGTGCAGATAGACTGTCGGCTTTTAGCGATATACACATGTTCCAGGTTCTGTGTTGTATATGACATTGTATAAGCTGGCAATGAAGTAACTTTCTACTGTAAAGACAATTTATTTGATTTAGTGAACAATTTTTACTTGAAATTTTAATTTTAATACCACAGTAGCTAACTTCTCGTTTCCTGTTTACTCTCTACGTTTTCAGGCCTATGTAACTAGTACTCAATTTTGTAATTGGCATTTTTCTCCTTCAGAATTAGTTAATCTTCGTTCAGATTGTAATACAACTGCTCTTAAACGATTACAATCAATTAAAGAAGTAGAAATTAAAAATACCAATGAAAATGTAAACAATACATTAACTGTTGTTGGATTAGATCCTGATCAAGAATTTAAAATTATTAAACATTATGTATATTTAATGAAAATTTTATTTGATAAATTTACAACACCTCAGTTACCAAATGAAGTAAGTTTTTGAACTGATAATCAAATTTGTTCAGTCTTTTATTTTTTTATTTTTAAAGTTCAAGTGTAATTATTTTCATTGATATTATTGCCGGACTGGAAAGAGGGCACCTCATCAAGATTATAAAGAAAAGAGATCTGAACAAATGTGAAAACTACAGAGGTATCACACTAATTTCAGTACCAGAGTGCTACTGAACCAGATAAAAGACGCATTAGACACCCAACTTCGAGATCAACAGGCTAGATTCCGCAAGGATCGATCGTGCACAGACCAAATTGTCACACTACGGATCATTGTTAAGTGAAACTCGTCACTATACATCAACTTCATTGACTATGATAAGTCGTTTGACAGTGTAGATAGGAGAACTCTATGGAGTTCCTGAGAAGATTGTCAGCATTATCCGGAACTCATACGACGGACTGCAGTGCAAAGTCGTACACGAAGGATAGCTGACAGATGCATTCCAAGCAAGAAGTCAGATAAGGCTGTATACTCTCCCCCTTCCGTTTTTACTGGCGGTTGACTATATTATGAATACCTCGACATCTGAGGGAAAACACGACATACAATGGACATCTCAGGACCAATTAGACGATGGAAGACGTAGAATCCTTCATATACCTGGGAAGCATCATCGATCAATAAGGAGGTTCAGATGCAGACGTAAATGCGAGAATTGGCAAAGCAAGGGCCGCATCTCTTCAATTGAATAACATGTAGAACTCAAAACAACTTTCAACCAATATCAAAGTCATAATCTCCAATACGAATGTCAAGACAGTTCTACTATACGGAGCCGAAACTTGCAGAACTATTACAACCATAATCAAAATATTACAAGTATTTATAAACAACTATATACGCAAGATATTCAATGTTTGTTGGTCGGATATCATCAGTAATATTCTACTGTGGGAGAGAACAAACCAGCTTCCAGCTGAAGAACAAATTAGGGAAAGACGGTGGAAATGAATAGGATATATATCACGGAAATCATCAAACTGCGTCGCGAGGCAAGCCCTGACTTGGAATCCTGAAGGGAAGTGGAGAAGAGGGAGGTCAAAGAACACATTACGTCGGGAAATAAGAGCAGATATGAAAAGGATGAGTAACAACTGGAAAGAGATAGAAAGAATTGCCCAGGACAGGGTTGTATGGAAAGTGTTTGTGGGTGGCCTATGCTCCTCCATGAGGAGTAACAGGTGTAAGTAAGCAAGTATTGTTATTGTCATAAGAGTGTAGATAACTTCATATCATTCTGTTTGTACTCGATCAAGTAACTAAATATGTTTCATTTTTGATAAGTTAGTATTCTTCGTTTACATTTAGACTGATAAATAATATTGTATGAGTATTGGTTATCATTATTTATCTGAACTATACATTTCATAAGGTGTAAACTTTCTATTTGTTTGTTCAGTACTAGGGAATGAAAATTGTTAATTAGTAAAAGTAGCCATACATGAACCCATTCAAATCTATCTGTCTTCATCAGTGAAAGGTCAGTAAACTTGGTAAATTTGTTAATTGGGTTGTGAACTTATATCGACTAAAGTAGTTGAAACGTGCACTAGTCATTTTCAGCCACTGCCTATCCTGATCTGCTTTACTGGTTTGTATAAAGTAAATTGTTTAAACGTTAGCGATGACCAAAAACATGAGTAGATATCAGTTGATAAAATCATTGGCTGTTAATTTAGGCCGTTGGATTTGTCCTAACAATTTCATGTTTCTGTGCTAATGGGGTGTGGCAAATTGAACCGATCTACATACGTATCAGGTTCTACTTTACGTTTAACTGACTGATCCGAACTCAGTAACTCTGTGCGTAACAAAATGTTTAAATCAGGTGTATGTTCTAGTCCAACTGTGAGTATACATGAGTATTGTAATGCAAATACATCCATCTAACGAGTCTCAAATAGGATGTAACATGCGTTCTATATTCTACAATCCATTTGTTTTAAATAGCTTTTGAAAATGGTTATCTAGATGTTACCTGCACAGAACAGACACATGCCAATAATGATTGACAAATGTCTACTCACTAATTTCAACGATGAAGTAACTCAAATCCCTCGCACTAACGATATAGCTTGTTCCAATTTTGTCTAACTAGTGAGATTTTCTGCAAAAAGTAACGTTCAGATGCATAATCTGTCCAGTAAATGTTTGAACTGTGGTTGCTGAAACTTCGTTTTAGAGTTCAGCACACGTCAATTTTACTGCCTATTATAACTATATAACTGTCCTGTCTCCATTTCTGTTGTTTGAAATACTCTTGGAAGCCGTCAAAAGTCAGATTTTCCAGCTACCTCACCGTCGTCATGTATTTTGCGAAAATCATTTCTCTCAAATTCAATTTATTAGCTGTCAGAAATTGTGGAAGACCACATACTTTCGATGTTTTCATCAAAACAGAAAGTTGATGATTCTCGTACTCCTAAATTTATTTATTTATTTATTTATTTGAACACATATATATTGGTACAGGAGTGCGCCAAATATATATGCGCCACACAAAACAATGAGAATTTAAGAAGAAAAATAAAAAAAGTGGGGAACGTAAAAAAATATATAAAAAAAACAATAACGAAGAGATTGGTGTAAAGTAGTGTAATAATAATAGTAATAGCAGGGGAACAGAAGGGTACAATCAGAAGAAATCTTTCAGTTAAGGAAGATACAACCACGTTTTATGAAGAAAGTATAAGAAGGTTACAGCATGATCGCCACTGGCTTCTATTCTGAGCCATATCTGATAACGTCTCTAGCCACCGTGTAGCACGATTTCTCAGACCCCAACCAGGGAGTCGTGAAGGACCAACACAAGCCAGTCCTTTGCAGCTTTCTTTCATGCCACGACACCATGTCATGCACTGACCACCTCTCCGCTTCTTCCAACCAGTCCCAGAGTCGGCAAATAATGCACGACGTGGAATTCTCTGGGACGACATTCGGAGAACATGTCCAAGTCACCGAAGTCGGTGTTTCAAGATGGTGACACCAATTGAATTATCATCTCTGTGCCCGAACACACGATGCCGAACCTCTGCATTACTGACATGGTGTTGCCACTGAATGTCAGCAATCCTTCGGAGACAGCGATAGTCGAACACAGAGAGTTGTCTAACGTCCTCAACTCGGAGAGGCCAGGTTTCACAAGCATAGAGCAAAACTACTCTCACCGACGCGTTGTAAATCCGACCTTTTACAGCCAGACTAACATCACGAAGGCGCCAAAGATGACCCAGATTGGCATAAGCCGCTCTGGCTTTCACTATACGTGCATTGATCTCATCACTCACACCTCCACCAGCACTTATGCAGCTACCCAGATACACGAACTTCTCGACTACGTCTATCTGCTCACCATCCAGGGTGAGTACAGGATTAGAATCCTGCCAGTCTTGTAGAAGTACTTTGCACTTCGAAGGTGCAAAGCACATACTATACCTACGGACACTGATTGCCAACTGATTAAGTGCGGATTGCATGCCTTGGGCATTATCGCACAGTAAGACAATATCGTCCGCATACTCAAGGTCAAGAAGTCTTTCTCCAGGCAACAGATCCACACCACCATTACTTACATTCATCAGAGCTGTTTCCAGAATGTCATCGATGGCAAAGTTAAAGAGGAATGGTGAGATTGGGCAACACTGTCTAACCACACTGCTCGAATGGAACAATGGAGAGAGGTGGTTGTATGCCCTCACTCTCCCCGCGGTGTTTGTGTATAGGGCTTTTAGGATGTTAATAAACTTCTCAGACACACCCTTCTTCAATAGACAATCCCAGAGAACAGTCCTATCCAACGAATCGAAGGCAGCCTTGATGTCAAGAAATACTACGATTGTTGGCCTTTGATAAGTATGACGGTATTCTAACATTTGGCGGAGGGTGAAGATATGATCAATACATCATCGACCAGAACGAAACCCAGCCTGCTCCTCGTGAGTCAATCTTTCTCGGGTTTTGAACAACCTACGAAGTATGACGGAAGCCAATAGCTTGGACGCAATCGGAAGTAGACTTATCCCCCGATAGTTGTTACAGGAACGACGTGAACCCTTTTTAAAGATAGGGACAACTATCGACTCATTCCATGACGTTGGCACACTCTCTAGTTCCCAAACCTTTGTAAACAACGTCGTCAATTCCTTAGTCAAAAAGTCACCACCATCTTTAAAAAGAGCCGGAGGTGTGTCATCTGGGCCAGGTGATTTGTGACGCTTCAAGAGTTGGAGTTCCTTGCGGACTTCCTCCTCGTTTGGTGGATCAGTCGTCACCTGCCATGGGGGGGCAGGACAGTCCGACCGATGTTGCCGGAGCAGCAGGTCAGTTGAACTGCCCTTCGAAAAGTTCTGCCCATCGTCTAAGACGTCGATGGATGTTAGTGATTGGCATCCCATCATCCTCGCAGATTGTTTCGCTCACACCAGACTTCTTGCTGCCAGTGGCTCGGATGAGTTGGAAGAGCTTCCGGTAATTACCAGATGCAGCTGCTGCTTCCAGCTCATTAGCACGCTCCGACCACCAGGCTTCTCGGTCCTTACGCAAGCCTTGCCCAATTTCCTTACGTAACATCCTTCGTTTATGGTCAAACTCACGGTCACCCGGAGTAGACCGACGGGCTTCAATGAGTTGTAAGGAACCAGAAGAAACCTAGTGCTTAAAAGCGGGACGTTTCGCAAACCCACAACTGACTGTACCCGCCATTTTCATGGCGTCATGCAATTGCAACCAATGCTCATCCATACTTTTCGGTGGTATGGTAGCTAGCCTAGAAGCTAGCTCGATTCGATACTTACTTACAACAGGAGTTGCAACCAACTTGCTGACATCAATCCTTTGGTGGCGGTCACTTCGTTGTCCACTGAAAAGTAAGGTAAGATTGGCACAGACCAAGGCATGATCAGAGTCCAGATAGGTACTCCAAAAGGAGCGGCAGTCTTGTACACAACCACGCCAGCGGTAGCTGATCGCGATGTGATCAATCTGAGTTCAGGCTTGAGATGCAGAGGGAGGACGCCAGGTGGCACATCGGCGATGACTATGCCGAAAGTTAGTGCTAGCCAGAAACAGGTTGTGGTCTGTGCATAGTTGCGGTAGACGGTCTCCGTTATCTGTCCTGCAACCAACAAGTCCCCATCGGCCACCTAAACGACCCTCTTCTGTGCCTAGTCGCTCGACCTGAGCATTCAAGTCTCCGGCTAGTACTACAATATCTGTCGAACGCACTTTCTGGAGAAGAACAGATAACTGGTGGTGAAACTCATCCTTGATTGCATCCGGGCTGCAATCTGTCGGAGCATAGGCGGAGATGACGAAGAGACATCGTTTCTCACGCCGATTTCTTCTCACTTTGATGGAACTCTCTAATCTAGCAGCACATAACCGACTGTTAATGGGGATCCAGTCGATTAGTGCTGCCTCAGCTCTAGCGCTTAGTGCGACACCAACGCCTGCAAGACCAGACGAAGATGCCACAGGGTCCCCGGATAAGCGCACGTAAAACAAGCTTTTCGAAGCGACAGATGGAGATCGAATTTGTAGTACTTCGCCAGAGTCTTGAATACGGGTCTCGGATAGACAACAAACATCAATATTAAGACTTTCTAAAGACATAGCCAGCCCTATCTGTTGTCCGACCTGCATAAATGTGCGAACGTTAAAGGCAGCCAGTTTGAATAGTGCACGTGGTTTCAGAAAAACTGCTTCAGTATTCATATTCGGTGGTAACATACAATTTTCAACCGAACAGTGACTCGACAACGTTTAGATACAGTCGAATTTCCACCATAGACGAGCTGCTGTATAAGTCGAACAAAAAATAAGTATAGACAGAGTAGGAATAAAGGAGGGTGAATAATGACGTAGTAAATCATAATAATAATAATAATAGCAATAATAATAATTGAATCATTTGAATGTTCGTCGAAGCAAGAGAATTAGTTTCCATGATCATAGACAGTTCAGTTCATAAATTGCGTGTGGGCTGCGATACTGCTCGGGTGCCCAGACCGAATCAGGTGGTTATCTTAGGGGGCCACACCCCGAGCCTTTGACCTAAAGGTCTAACCCACAAGGCAGTGGAGCATCGTGAGGAAATGCAGTCCCATGATAGCCGGTGACCAACGATTGGTTCATACGCCATTTGTTCCCGCAGGATACTGGTGCCCATGTGCACCATTGATTTGGAATCCGGTTAAAGTGCCGGACATTCGCTTTTCGTCCTCTCATTTTCGTAAACAACACCCCCGCCACGAGAAGGCAGTGAGTAGGACTTCCCTGGCAGAGGCTGTATACGCGTGGCCGTGTGAGAGTATTTTGAGAGGAAGGGCGAACCCACCCCGCTCTCGGCCATACCAGGGCATTTGGGGGCAATAAACGATTTCACAAGTTGAAATCTATGGAAAGTCTGGATGCACTGGACGGCCGTTTCGTCCTGGTATGGGACTCCTCAGCAGTGCACATCCACGACCCCGCACCCCGCGGGATTCGAACCCAGGGCCTACTGGTCTCGCGCGTGAGCACTTAACCACTCCTAAACCATCCTTGTGATTTTCTCAATTCTTACTGAAATCCCGATCTGACTTTTCCTATTTATTTAAAAAAACTGTGCTGTAAATGCATCCACTTTTATATCTCCTTCCTGATCTCGAATTTCAGTGTTCCCCTGTACACTATTTTCCACCCTTTCTTTTCAAATCGTGTTCTCAATCTCTAGTCACTTTTATTGTCGCTGCTACCATATTATTTCGATTTCTTGCTATGCATACTGTTAATCTCATATTACGCATATGTGATATTACAATTCGGGTCAACGTGCATCTGTACCAGGTTCTACTTTAACACTGGCTGACGTTTTGAGTAGGTAGATGCAGTTATCTTTTTGAGTAGTAATCTAATGAATAAATCACATAGATTTCAGTCATTCGGTTACATATTTAAACCTCTCTTCACTTCGGTTTGAGTAGTTGAGTATTATCAATAACTTGAACACAGTATGTATGTGACTAGAACATCACATTCATAGACTTCTTGATTATTGAGCATTATAATTTTGACCTTAACTAATATACACACAGCTGATAGTTCTTTAATCGAATTAGTTAATAGCTTTCATCATTTTTTTCGTTATTTCAGGTATATGGTTTTGCTGCAACCTATTTTAAACGTTTTTATCTTAATCATTCTGTAATGGACTTTTATCCACGTGATATAATGTTAACATGCTTGTACGTTGCTTGTAAAGCTGCAGATTTCCCAATTGGTCTTCAGACTTTCATTTCGCATATCCCTAGAAATCAAGAGCGATATAGTTATCTGGTTCTCAATTCTGAACTTTTTTTGATGGAATCACTGGGTTATGATCTGTGGGTGTATACACCGTATCAAGCGTTAACTGGATTTGTTATCGACTTAGTAGCATATCAGGTGGGAAATTTTTATTATTTTATATATTTAATCGCTTTAATGTCTTATCAAGTGATTTCCTACGGTTATAGAGTAGTTTCCATCCTGATCCAATAAAGAATTATTGAAAGCTAATAGGCATTCGATAGCAGTTTTGCCTTATTTTCAAACCCCTCGGGAGCACTTATATTCGGGTGGTCGGAAGGTTAGTGGGAATAAGTCTTGATAACTTGGTGTTAGTGGTAGAAAGGGTTTGTTTTGGTATGTCAGTCAAATGTATTTTGTAAACGCTGATGGGATTAAAATGAATAGAGCTCAGTTAATAAACCATGGTTACTAATCTGGAAGATAGTTGAAATAAAACGCAATGATGTAATAAATACAAGAAAGAGTTTAAAGAAGAAGATGCAACGAGGGAATATTTGTCATCAAGGAACGGCAAAACAAGATTAATAACCATCTCATTTTGAACATACAAGTCACGATTTTGACGCCTGATAGCAACGGCTTCAGAAGACTGGAGGTTAATTGTTTACTAATCACCTTAAAATATTGCAAGGTATCGACCTTATGTCCTATGTCAAGGAGATGTTTGGTAATTGCACTGTTTAGAGTCTTTCTTTCACTTGTCCTGAGGCTTTCCGGCACATGTTCCGGCAGCCAAACTATTAATTCTGTATAAACCAGCATGTTAAATAACTCAAAGGTTGACAAGCACCCCTTTATTGTTACCACCAACTGGATTTATAAATTTACGTTTACCTGCCAAAGCAGCTACAGTGGCCAAACAGAAAGGACGGCATATCTTAGATTTGTTGAACATGTTCCAGAAAGCCTCAGAACAAGTGAAAGACTCTAAACAGTGCGATTACCAAACATCTTCTTGATACAAAGCATAACATCGATACTTTGCAATATTTTAAGGTGATTAGTAAACAATTAACCTCCAGTCTTCTGAAGCCGTTGCTATCAGGCGTCAAAATCGTGACTTGTATGTTCAAAATGAGATGGTTATTAATCTTGCTTTGCCGTTCCTTGATGACAAATATTCCCTCGTTGCATCTTCTTCTTTAAACTCTTTCTTGTATTTATTACATCATTGCGTTTTATTTCAACTATCTTCCAGATTAGTAACCATGTTTTATTAACTGAGCTCTATCCACTCTATATTCCTATCAATATTTATTCATTATGTCATCACTTGTTTCTAGCCGTTTGAACTGTTGTCACAATCAATGTTGTAGAATGTTCTTTCATCACATAAGGTATATATTTACAATATTCAGTCTATTAAATTCATTTTCACCCTTGCTATACTATACTAATGTATCATCAATATCACTTCTAATCAAACTCTCATGTAATTAATTTAAACCCATTATGTAACTATGATTTTAAATATCACAGGTAGTAAGCAGTTGACGAGAACTAAACGAAATAAAATGAATTCATGCTATTCTGTTAGAATCTTTGTTCTTGATCTTTTCGAATTGATATAGGGAACTATGAGAATGAAATAATAGTTCTCCCTGCATTACTCTGGCTATGAAACATTGTATGTATGATAGTAAAAAATATGCATAAGTTGAGTGGCTTATACCATAGCTTTCTGTGAAGCACTGCCCGCGTATCAACGACTGAGTGTGTGACCAGTGCTAAGATAAGGTACATGGAACTAAACAAAATAGTAGTTCGTAAAATGAACTGGTAAATCTCCATCGACTAATGTGTCCAGGATACGTCTTACATAAACCCACTTACCCTCTGCCTCTATTTGTAGTGCTTACTGATGCAGGAGGTTGTAATACTTCAAAAACTTGTTCTCCGTTTGGTTAAAAGTTGAGTAAACAAAATTACCTTAGTTTTTCTTTCATTTCATGTTAACTGTTTTTTGTTATTCATTTCTGGCTACTTTTTGTTGATATATGTAAGCTATCTATTCTGATATGCAGGTTGCCAGGTCGTCATTTTGACTGACCAATTTTCTCCTTTTATCTATTTAGAGACGAATTTGTGGTGCACGTTCTGATTCCTATCTTTTAGAGAATCGATCCGATGCTCAGCTCGTTGATGAGTTATGTAAGGACGGTGTAAATTTAATAAATTTATGGTATCAAACTGACTTGTGCCTCACAGCTCATCCAAGTCAGTTCGCTCTTGCTGTCCTAGTGGAACTTGGACATACTCGGCCTCAGTTGGATGTAGAAGTTTTCGTCAGAGATGAACTATGTGGTTGTGACCCAGTACAGAAGTTTAAACAGCATTCTGAAGAGGATGATGGTGACGAAGGAGACATAAAACCCAAGAAGGATACCAAATGTGACCCTGAAACTCGTTGGCAGGAACTGTCTAGTCGTTTAGATTTTATCCGTCAAACAATCGATGAATTTCAGTTTATTACTGACTTAGGACCTGTTGGTGAAGAAGAAGTAATTTTAGATGAATGTCGAAATCCCCTGTATAATATTGAATCTGACGAGTATGCGCAAGCTAAGTCAAAAGCGGATAGCCTAATGGCTACGCTTGAATAATAGTAATAGTCGTACCTGTACTGTATATATACCATGTATAATTCACGTTTACTTTTCTGTTTTGGAAATTGTATGTAATTACAGGTTTTATTCTCTAGTTTATCTTTTGTCCTGAATATCTATTTCTTATAAATTCTACCTCTCGTAAACTCAGTTTATTATTCCTTTTTCCTTTTGAGTAAAGCAGTGTCAGCTTTAGGGATCAACGAATTTCCGTTGGTCGCTTTCGTAACGTACTGTGCTCTTTGTTTCATGAAGTCCAATTTTGTGACAGTCGCTGGACGATAGCTATGTTTCCTGAAATTCGATAATAAACCACCAGCTAAAACGTACCCATAAGCACGTTGATAAGGACATCTGACATAACAGACAGGTCGGTCTTCCAATAACTGACAGATGAATGACGCTAGCCACTCTAGTTCTCTCCAAGACTTGGCAAAATCTAGCCCGTTCGTGGACGAACATATGTTGACAATCCGAATTTAAGTGTCTTTAGTCTCGATTTTCTGACCAAGAAGTTGGGAATTTCGTTAAAAGAAGTAACCAGCTACAAAATATCTTGATACATCACATTTTGTATGTGGTTTGGTTTGCCTTTACCATTTTGTACTTAGAAACAATCTTCATAATCTTCTGATCAGTCATGACAGTCTTCATTGTCAGTATATCCCGTTGATATGCCGAATGATTAGCAACCACTCAGCACTCATGTAGTAATTTGTCTTCAGTAGAACCCCAGAAACAAGCTAATTATGAGTTTCGGTCTATGATCTTAACTATCACAAAAGAAAGATTTGTGTGGCAAACGTGTTGAAAGATTAGCTTTATTTCTCAGACTGAACCGTACAGCTAAAAACTTGAAGAGGCCGAATGGGCTTGTTGCGGCTGTGCAGTGGATATTTTTGGTAAACAATGAAACATAGTTTCACTTGCTTCCCAAGTTTCCTTTCTAAAATACGGTAGTGTCTTCTGATGTAGCGGCTGTCGTAAGTATTGGGCGACGAGTACTTGGTCGTAGTCTTCGAATTTCGTCACCAAAAATCGTCGTCCAAGCACCTATCATTTTTGCCTACTGCAGGACCAGTATGTCCATAGGCTTATGGTAGTGAGATCCGTAGCGAATGATTTAGCTACATTCAGCTCTAAGTGACTTGAACCAATAGTAAGAGGGGTCTCGTGTGTCAAATATAGAGAGCTTTAGCAGGTTATGTGATGCCATTGAAGATCTTATTAAAACCGATGTATAGAATTATCACTGACTGACCAACCCCACTTTGCTGAGTAATTTGGTCAAAAGTCAAGTGCTGTGTGAAGCATGATCGTATAGTTATGGACTCGTGCCAAAGTGGGCTAATTAAGCTTGCAGAAAGTGAAAATGGTAACAGCTATTTGTGGATGATTCTTGACAGCACAGGTTTCAAGGTAATGACCCTATAGTTTGCAATATTTCTAGGTGGTCCTGTTTTGAATCTTGGGATGATAAGCTGTGTTTTCCATACAAACGGATAGACTTCATCGTCCATAGATTGGACAGTTCTAAACAGAATAATAGAAAATCTGTACTACCGTATTTCATGGATTATGCAGGGACCCCATCAGGTTCACCGTCGTAGGATATTTTTAGGGCTGTTATGGCATTTTGATGTTGGTGAATATGGAATCAACAGTATATGGACGCTTAGATGTTATCGTTGGAAGCGTACTGATAAGAGTTTTGTGCTGTAGCATTGAGAGAAATGGCGGCTGAATTATTCACAAATAGTATCAGGGTCGTCAACAACTCTACCGTTAACTATGAAGAATCTGGTTGTGACAAAGGAATTCTATTTCACATGGGATTTGAAAAGCCGAAGTACTGATAGCTCTAAGGCTTTATCCTACATAGATATAAGGTACTTGCATTGAGATGAATCATCTCTGCCAGTCAAGTTAAGCATACTTCGTAGCCCATACACGTAATTGTGCATGTACTAGCTCTGCTTCAATTTCCTCAGCTTTCTCTTAAAAATATGTTGGCCTCTGTTAGCATTATAAACCACATGGTCGACAACTGCCTGCCTTGGCACATTGTTGGAGCTTTAGAGTTCAATGATATAGTGTTTGGAGAATGAATATCACTCACCACGACTCTGTGATCACTCACAAAAAATCCATCAATGACGTGCACTGAGGTAGGGTTGATATTGATTGCAAACATTTGATCAAGTATATTATTCCTTATAGTCGGCTTTCGAACGTGTTGAACCCATCCACAAAGAACTACCATTTCAACTAACTTGATATATCGTCCCAGTACCTAGGTCGAATTCCATTTAATGTCCGGCAGATCACCTCCGATGATTTTAAACGTATGCAGTTGGTGAGAAACAATTAAAAATATGTTTGTAAACAGTTTGTCAAAGTATCCACGTGGGGTGTGTAGAATCCAAAATAAGGTTTGGACTGGAAAATAACTGTCTAGGTAGTTTAAATACGCTCTATTGCTCAGTTGAAACCAAAACAAGGTGATTTTGTAAATGACGGTTCTAGATTTCGTCATAAGTAGGAATGTACATCATTACCTAAACAAATATTACCACTGAGTTACTCAATCAATAATTGTTCAATTAATCAAATCTAAATTACAATAAATGAACAAGTTGATAAAGGATGTTACACACTTCCTTATGTAACTCTCAAGGGACTACTTTCAAACCATGTAAAGTGTACAAATTTTGAATGATGTGAAGGATGAAAATTTCATAAAATGGTTCGTCAGAACATCAAGAATTTCACTACAATACTACGTCATTCCAATCTAATGTGTATTCAAGTTTATGCTGGTAAAATCTTATTAAGGAGTTGCGAAGATGTGCACAAGTTTGGTAGATATTTGTCCTGTGGAAAATTTTATCCATGTAGTTCCTGTGTATTTCGTAATGATAAATGCTCTAAATGTGGTAAAATTGGATACATACAAGCAGTTTGTATTACTAATATTCATTTAGTTGCAGATAATCCTAAACTTTGTAATTTCGACCCTACTAAGTTGAATGTTTCAAAATTATCATATTCTGGTCAGATTCATGGTGTTATTTTACCATGTATACGTTGTTCTCATGATTCATCTATTTCTAATGAAATTATTTCCAAATATGTGGTAGGTGTATCTAGTGCACCTAATCCTGATCAGAACTCTGATGTTACTTTATATGATGTGGTTTTTCCAAATAAAATATTGGTTAAATGTGAGGGACAATTTCTAAATAAGTTAAACTCTGATTACAGTTCTGACGGTGTCTCATCAGATGTTATTTGTCCTCACAATAGACTTATCTATGATGATATTTCTAATGAATGTGACAAATATGTTCCGAATGAGTCGGACTCCAGTCACATTTCTGATGTTGTCGTATCAGATTTTGGATATTCTCACAATCAATGTATTATTATTCACAAACAGCTTGTGGATACATAAGTATTATGTAGAAAAAAATTTTCGTCTATTTAGAAATACAATAAAACACAAGTTTCATTAATGTTGGCATAATATTTACCAAATTATAAAAAAAAACCGGTTCTGTGCATTTTAGAAGAATATTGAGTCAGTTTTTTTAAAGGGAATGAGGGAAAATAAGAGAATTTGAAAATGACAGTGGTATTACTCCTCGTTGAGTCAAATCTACAGTTTTGATTGTAAATTACGCATCAAAACTACTGTTCAGTGAAAGTGATATTGTTCCTGTGTGTTTTGACTTTGCTTGTGCGCATTTATTGTATCATAGCATACCTGATGGACTTTGACTTTATTTATTCGGTTAAGGTGTGAGATTTTGTTTCTATATATACATTTTTCTGTTACTATTTTTAGTTAACTTTTAAGACGGCTGGCTCTGCTCACAGATGTGGACAGCCATAGTGTATGGTGACATATATTCAGTGATTTTTGTAACAACAAAAATAAAAACCACATTTTTTCTCTAATTTGTCACACTTTATTTGTAACCACATTTTTATCCAATATCTGTTGTTTTGCTGTATCACTTGTTAAGAAGACGATAATAATTGTTTCGATGAATGATATACACTTATTCTACCGGGTTGTTTAAAATATAGAACAATACCTACGCCGTTTGTTCTTCTGTTTTATTGGCCACCGTTTTGATTGAAGACTGTAATAGTATTATAACATCATTATAGGCCTTCCGACTCAACGTTGGACTTTGGCACGGATTACTATTGTATAATACTATTGGACTCCGTCTTCCTCATTACGACTTTGGTGCAGTCACTTGCAGAGGAACACCTGTCAATCAAGTGAACTCAGTTTGTGGTCGTTGTCCTCACGAGGCAGTTAACAAGTAACATTCATTCTATAGTAACTGTTAGCGTCTGTTTTGTTTAATATACCTTTTGTATTGCTAACGGTATTTTATTACCTTTGTTTTTACTAACGGACAGATATCTAGGTTTCTTAATCAATAATTTGTTTTGGTATATCATTGTTAACCTAGTGTATCAATATAATTTGTGTAAGCTCCTTTTGTTTGGGGACCACCACAAGTGCTAATTTCATGTGGAAGAAAGAATGCAATGTGATGTGTAAGAAGGGGTTCCATAAGCGTGTACCAGTTTAAATCCCACTGCCTATAAACGGTGCTCAAAGCCTAACTCCCATTGGTTTTGTTGTTCGAGCAAAACATTACTCATACAAAAGGTAATTATCTTCTGGCGTTGGCTAACAAAATGGTTGATGAGGGCTGTATCGGTAATATGGGTACTAATAGCAAAGAATGCATCAGTGTCGTAAGTGCTGTTACGGCACGTGCCAGACCGATTGCGTAACACGCAATAGGGATTTCCATCCCGAAACAATTAATGAGCGATACACCATTAGATACTGGTGGCCGAATTGCTACAGCAGCGACTGACGACCCAGACAAAACCATTTTGTCTGAAGTAGTTCCAATGTGGACGCTGCAACTGATGAGAAATGGAAGAAGACAAGGAAACATTGTTAA